CATGCGAATTTGTATGCGCACGTCAATCAAGTGTAACCGTTCGATTTTCATACTCCGTCAAATGCAAATGACACGCAATCAGGCAACAAAAGAAACGAAATTAGCGCGATCGATGCGTCTGTCAGTCATCGTGATCCGCAAACTTGCGCCGAGTAGTAAAAGCCCGCAACGCGTCAGCCTGCGCTAAACGCACGAGCCCTAGCGATTTTCAAAAGATACGCGCGCGCAAGTTCGCGTCGTGCGCACCCCGCGCGCTTGTGCGTTTTTATCCCGGTTTGGATCTTGGTTGGCAACCTGCGACCGCGAGAGCGACAGATCGCGATGGTAACCGGAGAGCGCGGGGAGGTCGCGATTGACGAAGCCGATAAGCTCGGCGCGACGCGCGTGACGCTGAGTCCCGACGACAGCTCACTGACCTGCGAGCGTATCCGATGTAAAAGTACATCGCATGTATATGCCGCGCGCTCCTTATCTGTCGGTAATTATCGGGCGGGCTGTGAGTCGACGCCGCCGCGACGTAGATCCCAAGATATCGAGAAAATGGGCTCTCGCGCTCGCGCGCACTAAGGACCCTCCTGTTTTTGCGGTTTAGTCTTGCGTGCGCCGCGTCCCATTGGGCACTTTGTTGTTGTGACATCGTTGGCGGTTTTGTCGGCGGCACCAACGCGGGGATCTTCGCGATACGCCGAGCCTCCCGATTTGGCACGGGCGCGCGACACACTGCCAACCGTCATATTCGCGTGTGAATCATCCGACGCCGCGCACTCGTGCGTTCGCGTCGGGGCAGCTCTTTGGCAACGCAGTCTCGGGAGAGCCGCGCAAAAGAAGAGAGAGAGCAGGTGGTTCGCCTTGAGCTCGTCTCTCGTGCGGTCGCGCTGATTTTTCACACCTCGCGGAAACCCAAGCTCGCATTGTCTCGATTTCTTTATCGCGCTGTCCGGGTGGTCGTCGTAAGGAGAAGAAAAGTCTGCCGCAAGGAAGGGGGCGGCATCGCAAAGTAGGTGGCACCCAGACGATATCGCGTATACGGCCCCCAAGGAGCTTCGCGCGATGCACGCGTAACTCGAGATGCGCATGCTTCAGCGCACATGCTATGCGTACCGCGTAGGCGGAGTGTACGGTTTTCCTTGATCACGCGTTCATTTTACTTTTCCTCCGCATTCCTGCTTATTATTTTATGCTGGCTCATTCTTAGATTATGGTACGCGCTCACTGTACAATAAAGTTCTTAAATGGAGATGATCTTGATAAAAAGCCAGACGTAACATCAAGTGTACTAGAGCTGTCTTTAATTTATTTACAATATTCACTATATTTAGGTACTCCTATCGAGTAGATCAAAATGATTAGCAGTTCGACGGATTCTCGGAGTATAGTTTTTGAATAATGTGAAAATATATTCCGCTCTGCAAATATTATTGTGGAAGTCGGCATCAAAAGATTCTAATCTTTTGCTCTGCCATCGAAGAATCAGTCGAAACTGTGGCATAACTTGGAAAGCAACCGAGAGATAGAGAAACAACTCGCGCGAGAGACAGTCCTCGAAAAGAGCATCGCGACAAAAGGACCAGCCCCATACTGATAAAAAAAAGAAAAAGTACACGCGAGCGACAGTTCGTCTCCTCGTTTGCCCGGTGATCGGCATAAAGGGCGGAAAAGGAAAGAGGAAAAAAAAATACCCTCGCTGTGTGCTTTAACGTACGTGACAATGACTCGCGACTCCTGCGGCTCGTCGTCGCGGGGGTGCACGCGCATTGTGCAGGCATGCTTTTTCCCTTCTTTTTGCCCAAGGAGGGCTTTCTTCCCATTGTTTTTTGCTCTTCCTTTCTTGCGCGCGGTGCGCTCGAGACTTCCTGTTTCAATAACGCATATGCGCGATGCAACTTTTTGTTTTTTTTTTCTGCTTCTTCTTCTTCTTCTTCTTCTTCTTCTCTTGCCCTCGCGCGAGATTTTTCTCCTCTCACTCGATGCGATTTTTCTACGCCGAACAAAGGGGGGATTCTTTTATCGAGTTCGCAAGAGAGCTCGAATACTTTGAGGAGAGAAACTTTCCGTGGCGCGGCAGGCCTCGAGGGAATCCCATCGGCTTCTTTTCCTCGCGTGTATGGCCAGTGATATTACTGCCGAAGATTAAACGCACCGTGTTATGGAATTTTATAATGCGAGCTTTTTGCTTTATAACGGACTTGTCGTCGCGTTATCTCTTTCCTCTCTCCCTTTGCAACTGTTCGCTCATGCTTCGCTTAGCGAATCGGTAGACGCGAAGAAATCGCACGGGATCGGGTTATTTATCATTCGCCTTTCTATTTGAATGTCCATTGCGTTTTTAACAAAACCATAGAAGTCAAAAAAATCTAAGCTTCAAGCGCTCCTCGTTGAACAAAGTTTCGTCGGGCGACGGAATCAATCGGCAAGAGAGAGGAGGAAACAGCATGGCGGTCGGGCGAGGCAATAACTCGCGCGCGATCTAAACTGCCGAAAGAAGTTTAGAATTTGGGCTCCGCTTATGCGCCGCGGGATAGCCGGGGGCGGATCGAGTTGCGCGATGATTGCGGCATAATCTGCTTTCGCTTGGCTTTGCGGCGCGTGGGCTCACCCTCCTCGCTGGCAAGAGAAGAAGCCCCCGTAGGCGTCTACTGCTATACAAACGCGAGCGCCATACGCTAACTCGACGAGCTTGCGCGAGAATGATGCCTCTGTGTTCTTTTTTTTTTTCTTGCTGGACGCATTTTGCGCATGGTTATTTTTCAGTGTTGATATGGAGATAGCTGTGATTCGTTCATTATATTCAAACTAAATAGCTGTTCGAAATATGCTTCGTCATTATTTTGCGAGATGAAAATTCCCAAATTGAAAAATACGCGTTATTTGAACTTTGAATAAAGATGCGAGTAACTTTTTAAATGTCATTAATTAAATAAAATGAATAAAAACCATTACTAGACAACTGCATTTCCCACTAGACTGATAAAGAACAATTTAAACAACCGAAAGCTCAACGCCCTGTTGAACGTTAAACATAAATTTTTTTATTTTATTCCCTTCGAAATATACAATTGATAAAAATGAAAGGAGGAGAGCGAGAACGAAAGCGTAGAAGGGCGATGGAGAGTCGAATCGGGCGTGCGAGGATCGTGGGTTATCCTATAAACAGCCAGACGGCTAATCCGGCCCCGAGGGCCCGTGCGTGCGCTTGAGCCACCGCAACAGTTAGCATATTCGATTGTTCCTCCCTCCCGCGCCGCGACTGGAATACGAATAAACGAGCGAGCCGGCCGACCCTCGCGCGGAGAAGAAAGAAAGCCACGTCCGTTCTCTCGATGCCGAATCGGGTTCTGCGTCGTTGACGATTGCGCTGATTTCACTCGCTGGCCCTCCGAGCGCGCGAGTTGGTCGAAGCGACCGATGATCGATTCGGCAAAGTCGAGGATTCGGGCGCGGCGTTCGAAAGGGGACAAGCCGCGGCGCGAGCGGCGTGCAGGCGTAATAGATGCTGGCGCTGCACGGCAAATCGTCGATCGATTATCGCCCCGCGCTAAAATTACACTGGAGCCACCGGAGCAAGCCACGGTGGATATTTTTAAACGCCGCCGGATGGCGTGTGCTCGCGCGCGTGTAGGTGCACACATAGGAAACCCGTGCGCGAGAAGATCCTTTCTCTCGGGGGTGGCTGTCGACGCTGCCAGTGACACTCCCCTGGAGAGAGACGGAGACGGGAAAAGAAATTTCGCGTTTGATGTCCGCCGCCAAGGGGACACGAGAGAGAGAGAGAGAGAGAGAGAGAGAGAGAGAGAGAGAGAGAGAGAGAGAGAGAGAGAGAGAGAGAGAGAGAGAGAGAGAGAGAGAGAGAGAGAAGGCGACGGGGCCGGACAGTTTGCCGACGTTCCGAAGAGCAAGGCCGAAAGGTACAGAATGTCGGGCTCGTGCTCGCGCGTTCCCTTCTGTTTGCACTTTCGCACTTGCTTCGTCGAATGCGCAGAGTTTGGTCGTCGTGCTTGGCGAATATAAAGATGCCCGACGGCGAGCGACAGCGGCCGGACGCGCGATTTTTGGCAGAGCGCGCGGCTTTCAGGCTCGTTGCGTATGACAGCGCGGGCCGGCCAGCTCGGGCGAGCGCCCAGCCTGGCGTGCATAATGGCAATGGCGCGGCTGCAACAATGGGGGCTCAAAAGGACGCGCTCGCGGATTACATGGATATTAGTAGCGGCGCGCATCGCGCGCGGGGGCGTTTTGTGTCGGATTAATTAATTAAAGCGCGCGCCTACTAGCGGCGGTCATACACGCGATTACCCAGGCGTGCAATGCCGAGGCCGCTCGCAGCCTTTATATCCCTGTGTGCGCGTACGTGTGCTCGACCCCCTTGGACTACAAACACTCGCCTCTGATAATATGGTCATTGTGCGGTGGTTGGCCGGCCTGCCCGTACGTCCGAGTATGGCTTTTCATATTAATATTTTTGCCTGTTATTTTATTTACTTCGTTTTTTCTTTCATATTTCTCGCTGCTCGAGCGCGTTTTCAACGCCAGTGGGATTCTCGCGCGTGAATCATCGCGGAATGTTGATTGTTCGAAAGATGAAAGCTCCAAGTATAATATTATGTTTTTAATAAAATCTTTTCAGTGTTGTCTTTTGTCCATTTATTTCGAATGGTTGATTTTCTAGGTTTCGCTAGAAATCCTGCTGGCGTTATTAACTTTTCACCAATACAGGCTTTCGCTTTGCAAGCTCGGGCGGCTGTCGCGCGTTCTCGCTAACGGCAACGTCGACGCGCAATGCCGGAGCGCAGTGGTGGGCGGGCGCGTGCGTTGCGGGTTTGCGGTTCGCGAGGGCCGAGCCTTTGGCGCGTCGGACGCTATAATCGCGATCGCGCCCTCGAAACGCCACTCGCGCGTGCTGCTCCCGTTTTTCCTCCTCGGCAGCGCAACGATCGCCGGCGCGAGGCTCCGCTTGGCTTCCGAGGGACGACAACGAGCGACGGCCCAAGGCCGCGAAGACTGACCTTTCTTTGCGTGCAGAATATCCGCGGGATCGGGAGGCAAAGCCGTACAATGGCTCGGGCTTAAGCTCGGTTGCAACGAGGAGAAAGGACTGCCTGCTCCGGACGGATACCTTGAATCAGACGAAGGCGGAGAGATTAATCGCTGGCAATCGCAGGCGAAACAAGTGGAGCACACGCGGACGGCGGCGTTACCATGGGTTGGGCCTCGGCCAGCCGCTGGTCTGGCCGTTGAGCAACCTCAGCTTGTCGTAGACACTTTCCGCGGGACTGGTCGCGCCTACGCCTACGCCAACGCCTCCCACGGCGCTCTGCTGCTGCTGCTGCTGCTGCTGCTGCTGGCGCTGTTCTTTTTGCGCGGCCAAGTTTCGCAAGACCCTGTTGATGGACGATACCTGCAACGGTCAATCGACATTCATCAATTCGTCAACTGCGTGAATTCCCGCTTTCGAGCGCGCCGATCGAGCGATCGTCACGAATCGCGGGCCGCTCGGGGGGCAAAGTACAGCGAGTATAGTCGCAGCGCGCGCTCGAGCGAGCACATCAGCGTTCCTCTCTCTCTCTGCTGCTGCCGCTCCAGCGTCGATCCGTTTATCCACGCCTCGCGACGCTAACGAGATCCGCATGCGCGCACGCGCCTAGACATTTAATTCGTGCGCGATGCAGGCCGCGCGTCTATATAGGCCAGAGAGATAGAGCGTGCGGCGCTGTTGTGCTCGCCGCGCTGCCCGAGCAGCCGACGCGTCGATGAAAAGAGAAAAAGAAAAAAATGTAAGTAAGGAAAAAGCGTCGTTCGATTTGGCGCATGGATCGTTTGCGCATATACATACGGATCCGATTTGTAATAAATAACGTAATGGGGTGAGAGAAAGACAGAGGGAAGAAGCGAGAGGGAGAGCTTCGGCTGCTCGATGAGACGCGACGAGAGAGCGGTAATTAAAACGACGAGGCGAAGCGCGCACGCAAGGGAGTTAATTACCTCCGAGTTCAATTATACGCGAGCGACGACGGCAACGACGAAGACACGGGCGACAACACTCGGATATATCTATATTGATGTACGGGGGGTTGCTGCTGCTGCTGCTGCTGCGCATATCTGTCACGAGGCTTCACTCTTTTATATAGATGCGCGAGCTTCAATTACAATCAGCACCGAGTGCGCGTTGTTGCTAATTGGCAATACGTGCGGCGCGCGTGCGTATATTGATTATCATTCTGGAGAGCCAATAAGGATAATTAGCGAGACCCCCCCCTCCCCGAAGGACCTTGTGCTCTTGGAGCTTTTGTTCGTTTCCAGCTGGTCGGCGTGGCCAGGAGCGGAGGCGCACTCTTTCGCGCGCCTTTCTGTCACTTGCACCGCCCGTATAAATCCCACCGGGCCCGAGTCTTTTACGGCTGCTGCGCCCGATAGTCCGCTAATTTATGCCTGCCACCCTACACACGGCCTTACTTTTCTCCCGCCGCGCTGCCTCTCCTCGTCTTTACTTTACTTACTTACTTACTTGCTCGGGCGGCGCGCCGTTACATGCATTATGGATTACTATACATTAATGCATGCCCGTTCGCGCGGACGTGGGCTTTCAAAGGATTGCGCCCCGTTGCCCCGAGAGCGCCCTCTCGCCGACTGATGAGCGCGCGACTTTTTACGATCTGTCCGAGCGACGGGACGCGAGTATGGCAAAATTAATATCGGCGCGTAACGGCGACAATCAACGACACGCGCCAACGACAAGTCCGAGTGATATCGTAAAGTCGCGTCATTGCCGTCGCGCGCCACTCGTCGGATTTTATTTCTCGACGCGCGCATCGATTCCGAGTTTGCGCCGGACCGAAAGCCCAAGCTGAACTCTCGTAAAACGCAACGCGCGCGCGAGCATTTCCCACACGCACAGCCTGCGCGCCCGTAGAAAGTGGCGTCGTCGTCGGAGAGATTGCAGAGTAATAAAGAAAGTGAGAAAGCCGCGGCGCTCGCGGTCGCGCGAGACGTGGAGTTGTACGGGAGGGTGGTGGCGAATAGGGCGAGCATATAGCGGTATGGGTCCTGCAAGACATGTCAGGTCTTTTCAACGGCGCAGCGTCGTGACGTGTGGAATGGGGTCCAGGGAAAAGACCCTCGGGGCGAAAGAGAGAAAGAGTGACATGTCCCACGGCCAATCTCGCTGCGCGCTGACAACTCTCTCTCTCTCTCGGCCTGTAATTCTGTAGCAGGCGGCAGGTGAAAATAACCTCGTGTATAAGCTTCGACCTCTTCTCTCTCGCGATTACTGACTGACTGACTGACTGACTGAGGTGCAGTTGCCAGCGGGTTATTTGGTTTTCGTAGAATTTCGATTAGAGGATGTTGTTCAGTCATGGAATGTTTTATTATGGAATTAGGAACGACACTTAGAATTAGTCGAGAAGGGTTAAATCTTCATTGTTCGGATACTTTCTGGAATGGAAAACTGAAGTTTCTGAACGGGAAGACAGTAAAATAGGTAAATGATCAACTAGCGCTGCTTATTTTTACGTTTGTTCGACACTCAAGGGTAAACGTATTCCAAATTGAAAAGCTTTGATCCTTTCAGCGGCTCTCCGCTGACGCCGTCAGTTTGCGTGTCGTGCGGTTTCAAAGTTTTTATTCCGTGGCGTGCAGTCGCGTTGAATAGCCGAGCCGGCGATTGGCCGCGCCGCGTCTAGCACGTCAAAGAGTCAGTAGTAAAAGTAGACATTCACGGTGTCGCCACATATACCTGCCCGAACGATTTTTCGACAGGCCATTGTTATGTCCCTCGACGGGGGGAACACCGCTTGACGCGAGCTTTCACCAATGGGATCTCGAGTCAATCACCTCGGCTCGGTCTTCTGGTCTAATTTGGGAAAATATTTTTGCTCTTCAGAGAATTTCAAAACATCGCCTCGCGTCGTGAGTATTCCGAACGAGCAAGATGCGCAAGATGGTTATTTTATTAGGGCCCGAAGAAAAATAATCAACGTATTTCATTATTCTCAAACGGCAAATCAAGCTAAACGTTTCAATATATAACCCTAAAAGGCATTTCAATCGAAGCGAATTTCTTTAATCCAAGATTTATATTGAATAAGCCTCCAATCCTACAGAATGAATATTCCAAATGTGAATAGACATATATTAATGGATGGCTTAGTGCTACTGAATGAAATAATTTTGAATCATCACACGACTCAGATGACTCGGGCAATAATGATGAGGTTATTATACAGTGACTTATTAAAAAAAGACGTAAGATGAGAAAAGCATCCAATTTCAACTTCATGTTTTATTATGGCAACTAATATTTTACACAATATTTTTCAAAAGACTTTTTTAATCAAAGATACAAATAAAGACGTAAAGATCGCGTTAAACAAAATAACAGAATATCTAACGAAAGTCAAATTCGTGGTATTGAGAAAAGAAATTTGATTATGAACGAATTGCTATTATGTTCAGCATCTGGTTTAGTTAATGAAATATGAATTATATGTGTACAATGTAATTGCAGAGACAAAATTTTGTACATTTTTATTTATTTTATTCAATCATAATTCATACAGTAATATCAGTTGCCGGTATACAGAAATAGTTAAACCAACTATAACTCAAGATTTTTACATTTTTAAATAGTTTAATCACATAGCTAGTTTTATTCGTTGCACATCTCGTCCTAAATGCAATATTTACTGTTTAAAAAACAGTATTTTGTTGTATTTATTATAAATTATCTTATGAAATAAAAAATTTTTATATTGTAACTTTAAGTACAACTATTTTCAAATCAATAAATATAACCCACGTACGAAAAATGGGCGAATAAATGATATTTCCCAATCACAAATTCTAACTTGACTTAGAAACTATACAAATTACTTTTAAAAAATTATTTGGTAACTGCAGTTTCATTTTTAAATTAGCTTATTTTAATGATTTGTTTTGACCAATTTCTTTAACAGTTCAGTTGTAGTAATTTTTCTCTTTTTTTATTTTTTCTGAGCTATTTCATCATAATTGTCATCACTGCTTTGTACAGATGAAACTGTTGACACTGGATTGATATATTTTCAACATTATATATTATAAAAAGTCAGCCATTTCCTAAAATGTAAGTCAATAAATTAAGAATACTAGGTACAAAATTAAATATAAATTATTCATTTTTCAAAATTAAACAAAACGATTGTATGACTGAACTACATGAAATATTTTCACAGCTAAAAACATGTAAAAGTTTCTAACCCTTTCATAATCAAAATCCTGTCTATTATTCCCACTTGATTGGTTGTAATTCTTATAATTCTTAAATTTATCTTTTCTCTCACCACAGGCATGAATCAGGATTTGATTGATCACTGAAACTTTCATAACTGAAATTTCTCTTTTCACATTGGCTTTTCGTAGGCTTTTCTAGACTAACCACAATATTTTCACTAATTTTATCGTTTTCCTTGTATAACTTGTTTGTTTGCTGCAACTTATTTAATATCTTGCTATTATTGATGTATAGATCAATATTATCCGAAGTATCACGGTGACACTACTGTTATTCACCAAATTTTTCATTTAACTGTGTTTTAGAATCTTGCTCCGCTTGATTACAATCGTCATGTTCGGAATCATTACTATCACTCTTACTCGTATCTTTTTGTGTTTTTTAACTTCTTGTTTTTTTTCTCTAACAATAATATGTAACTAGCAATAAAAGACCTGCGGTTTATTGAATCTAAAAATCATTTCAATAAACACAACGGTTTATTTTACGTATACCCACTTGTACCGTTTCTCATACTTACCGTTCCTAGCTTTATTTGCTAGCTCAACTTTCACTTTAACTATATAATATTTGTCACTGTCAGGGGGGTTGTGAATATAAAATTGTACCGTTTTCGACATTATTTTTAAAACCTACAAATAAATCAATTTCTCAAGTATTTCTCGTGCATATGATCTTTTTCTATATTATTTTTTGAGGTTAAATTAGAACGCAGTCATACCAGCATTGTAGTGCATATACTAGATTTAGGTCTTACATTTATCCACGTTCAATTTATCAAATAAATTGAACGTGGATTATGGACTGAATTTGGCGACATTAAATTTTTGAAACATTATGTCTTTTGGAATGAGCCAATAGACTAATAATACTCGATATATTAAATTTCAATTATAGATGTGACGCGGAGTCTCTTTGCTTTTGAAACGTTTCAAAATGCTGCCATTTTGAACGTTTCGTTATCCAAGAATAATGAAATACGTTGAATATGTAAAAAAAGCAATGTTTCGCGAGTGACAGCCTCGAAACAAAGGAACGCGACAAATGAAGTGGCCGCGCGTTGTCGCATGACAAGCCAGCACTCTCGAGCTGACAAGCTGAGCATTGTATTAAACAACCGCGGAACG